TAACACCTTCCCTCGGGTCAACAGAATTCCTTACTTAGAATTTCTGGTTCGCAGACTTCATTTGGAAAAGTCGAAAATTTCCTCGATTTGGGATTCAAGATAAACCGGTGACTTGGGACACCAAAAGCCAAACCTTTCCCAAGTGGCGACTCTGAATTAAATAAATAATCTCATTTCGAATATTGTCACTTAAATTGGAAAAACTCCACCCGCGCATTTAACCCTTCGGGGAGGGCGCGCAAAAAGGAGGTGTGACAGAATTATTTCCAAATTTAAAAATGTGTCATTTATTTTGGAACAGACTAAAAAGGAAAATACCTCATTTAATATGAAACGTAGAGAGTAATAGTATTTGAAAATGTCTCGAGAAATGATTTGGGAAATGAATAACTAATGACAAAGTAAAACAAGTAAAAAACAAGTGTTGCTAAAATAAACAAGTAAAAAAAAATATTTAATATAGTAGATAAGTAAAAGTGAACGGAGGGAGTAATAACACAAATTAAATATAGATACTATACTACATCGAGTGAACCTTCAAAAAATGCTTTATAGACATTCAGTGTAATTAACTTTTCTGTCAAAGTTTGGCATTTTCTAGTTGTCACCTATTGCTGGATGCATTTGATGGGTGTACTTATTTATTGGAATTTCCTTTTTAACCTTATTTTTCATTTTTTTTTTGTTACTTATAGCTGAGAGATTCTGCAAGAGCAAGTGGCATGTGAGTATAAACGAAAAAGAAATGTAATCAAAGGAAGAAAATTTAATAGAGAAATAAACAAGAGAGAACATTTTGGGAAAGATTTGTCCCAGTAAATTAAACTAAGCTAAGGGATTTTCTTTTCATCTTGAAGCAGCCTCCTCTTGGATTCCAGCCAGCAATTGATTAACAGCTTGAGCAATTTCCTCTACTGTAGTTAGTTGGCACCCTTCCTCTACCTGTTCCAAATTTTCATCCATGCACACAGAAAATTTAAATTAGAAATATGAAACATTTTGCTAAAAAGGAAACAGAGAGAATTAACGGAAAGTAAAAGAGTTTTCTTAGTTTCGATATATGTACCAATCCAATAAATGCATTACATGTATCTTACATGATTTGAAATGGTTACTTAATATGTTTAACTTATAAGTTATATATATTGATATATAGTGTTAATTATAATTTGTGCACTACACTATTTTGTGTAGTTTATTATAATCAGGCTTGTAACAAAGCTACTAATTACTCTAATTCATGAATGTTAAGTAAAAGCTATTGGGATTTCTAGAAATTAATTACTAACCTTAGCACTAAGGGTGTAAAGAACCATTTGGTCGACAGTAATGACATTAAGGTGAAGAATAGTGAGCGACAGACACTGAAGTCCAGCTAGTATCTTCAGGAGTTGTTTTGGCCTTCTCTTTGATAGTATTTTGAGATTGGCATGGCTGTCCACTAGGTTCACTTCTATGTCAGCCATCACTGATCTATTATTGGCCGCCAGTTCGCTTGAGTTTGTTGCAGCTGCCGGTGAACTGCTGACATGATTTGAATGTGTTGTTGAGTACTGTGGGAAGGAGAAGAAATCAGCAAAAAGTGGTAATGATGATATGCCATTTTCGGGTAGTTGGTCATGAGTACTGCTTCTCTTTTGAACTTCTAGCGTTTGAAGATGCTGTTCTAGCTCTTTCACAAAGTTTATGGCTCCTCCAATTATTGATGCTTGGTCAGCCTGAAAGTGAAGTCTTTCTTTAATTTATGAGAAGGAAATGAGAACGAAATTAAACTATACAACATGATAAATTCCTGGACATACAAAAGGGTTGGAGACTATCGGGTTAACGTGTAAAATATACTAGTATTCGTTAAATAGTAAAAAGGCGGTCCGATGTACTAAGCTCATGCTGGGCATGCGCCGGGTCCAGGAAGGGCCGGATTATAAGGGTCTATTCTTACATTTTTGCAAGAGGTTGTTTACACGGCTCGAACCGGTGGCCTCCTAGTCATTTAGACAACAATTTTACCAGTTACGTTAAAGCTCCACTTCTTTTGTTAAAAAGATATATATTTGTATGTAATTAAGTTATGTTTAAAAGAGATTATCAGAGGAAAAAATTGTGTTTTCGTAACTCAAACAAGTTTTATACTAATATGGATGTATGTAATTTAAACTCATAGTAAAATAGTGTTTATGGCCCAAACGGGTTTCCAAAAATAGATGTGAGATGGGAAAGAGAACAGGAAACAGACCCTTTGAACGTAGGAAGATGGCATCAAAGATCGAAGAACAGTAAGATATTCATTCATCTGCTTGCGACGATTGCGCTCCACCGCAATATGTATCATTCTCTGGTTTTCCAATTCTTCCCTGTTCTTATTGCTACCTCTAGCCGTCCGTCTTCTTTTCCTCCTGCCTCCTGAAGTGTCTGCTGCCTCCAAAAACAGCTGATTCTCCTCAACAATATTGCAAGCTGCTGCAGCTTCTGGTGAAGAATTTGAAATATCCAAATAGTATTCTTTCTCTTGATTTTGCATCATTGGAATACAAGATGAAGACTCCCAATTACTTATACTATGAGGAAATGAACTACTTGATGCATAAAACTCTTTATTATAAAAATAGTCAAGTTGTTCTTGAGGGTAAACCACAGTCTCTAACGCCATGATTTGTTTTTCAGGTTTAACTAATAATTTGAATCCAAGTAGTCTATTTCTGCCAAGCAGAGATTTGCATTTTCAGGACTTTCTTTCCTTCACATAGCAGAGTGGACATATGGACTAGAAATGTGGTAAGAAAGGGAAAAAGAAAAGGAAACAAAAGAAGTAGAAGATGAAGAAGCAATTAATAATAGGAAAAATATTGGAGTTAGAAGCTAAGAAATATTTTTACCCAAGCACTAGAGTTCTAAAAGAACAAACAAACCAACAAGCTTGTTCTTATTTCCTCCCCTCTTATATATGAACTCTCATACAGAAGCACTAAGCTTAACCAAACAAATGCAGAGTTTGTCAAACGTGCCTAACACAGAGGGGAGAGAGAAGGGTAGCAGAGAAGTTAAGAGCTCTTGAGTTTGCACTCTAAACTCTGTGGCTTTTGTAATACGAGTTCAAAGCAAGCAAATAACATTGTTATTTTTTATTTTTTATGTGGCACCATTTGCTCTTTCAATAGTCAAACTTTTTAAATTTAACTATAAATTTGTATATAGAATGTTTAACTTTTTCAAAAATAAAATTAACGTTTTTGAAAACTACGTAAAAAATTACAAGTCACAAAATTAACGATTCAAATACTTAAAATACATATAAAAATACGATATTTAAAGAAAGATTAATTTAACTCTCGCAATGCGAAGAATGCCACGTAAATTGGTAAAAGGATCTACTATGTAGTAATGTATAGTACATTTTATATTCAGCAAGATAGTGAACTTGTTGTGGGACCTGAGGTAGACTAAAGCAAATCAACGCAGGACAAATGCCACAATTAAGAGTGAAACATTTAGAAGTGGAATTTCGACAGGGTGAAAAAAGTCTGTTCAAAGTATTATGTGTAGACTCGATAAGTCGTTTTGAGGATTAGTTTTTATTTTTGCGTTTCGAAACCTTTATTAGCTTCATTTAATATTTTTTAATTTGTGTGCATGGTCCGTGTTGTTTTTCGAAAATATTTTACGTAATAATTTGAAGAAAATGTGATTTTTGGCCTAAAATGAGACTTGAGTTGTTCACGGTCAACATTCTTAGTAAATGATCTCGGATTGGAGTTTTGACGATTCCGATAGGTTCGTATGATATTTTTCGACTTGAACGCACTTTTGGTTTGGGTCCGGGTTGACCCGAGCGCATTTCATCACGTTATGTGAAAAATTGTGAAAATGAGTTTCAAGTTGAAAATCATGAGTTTTGATGATTGGTTCTTGTCATTTGATGTTATTTTGATTATTTGTGGTAGCGATATGTTCCTACCTGAATTAATTGTATGACTTTATTATTTCATGTTTTACTTGCCTTTATTATCTTTACATTACTTATTGCACTTTATTATATGATCCTGATTTCTCTGAGTTCTTTAGCTATTCTTGTATTGGCGATTTGTAGAGAATTATGAACACGAGTTAATGTTATCTTATGTTTATACTGGTAGTTCCTTGATGTTCTATGCACTTTATTTCCCTTTCGTGTTGAGATTCCGTTATTGGTTATGTTGAGTTGTTTATGTTTATGTATTGATATTGGGAACAAGTTTGCGCGCCACAACAGTATTGAAATAAATTGATATTGGGATCGGATTGCATGCCGTAACCGATAATGATATGATATGATATTGGGATCGGATTACACACCGCAATATATATTGTGATAATTGTTGGAACTGGGTCGCTTACTGCAACATGTATTGTAATAATTGTTGGAATCGGATTGCATGCCAAAACAAAATATGATATGTTGCGGCTGTTTATTGTTGTAGAGTTTTATCTTGGTACTGTGATATGAGATTTGAGATCATGCTATTCTGAGGCTCTCTAGTAATTGACCTTCGGGTATGTTTTTAGAGCTTATTGTTTTATCTATATTTTAATATTATGTTATTATTATTACTATTATTCGTACAGGTTTATTGCGAGTGTGTTATCATAGCCTCGTCACTACTTCATCGAAGTTAGACTCGACACTTATAGAATACATGGGGTCGGTTATACTCATACTACACTTCTTCACTTTTTATGTACATCCCGGTGTTGGTCCCAACGGTGGAGGAGTTTTTCCTTATTCGATTTGCCCAGGAGAAATTAGGTAGAGTTGCTGGCGTTCGCAGTCCCTGAAGTCACCTTCTATTCTGTCTTTACTATTTATTTCGTTTCAAACAATTGTAATCCGTTCAGACAATACTTTGTTGTACCCTAGTTGCTTATGTACTGGTGACTCCGTATTTGTGGAATATGTTTAGACTGTGCTACGTATGTATTTGTCACATCTATTTCAGATTATTTCATTTTCGTATTATTAATGTTCTTCTTTTAAATTGCTAAAAATAATTAATTAATTAGCTAACGTTGGCTTACCTAGCAAATGAATGTTATGCGCCATCATGGCCCCACAATTGAGATTTCTGGTCGTGACACATTATTAATAATTAATCTATTTTAGCAAAATAGATTAATTTATGATTAAATATGCTTTGCCCTTTAGAATATTATAACTAATTCATTTGGACGACTGTTCGAATTAAACTTTGCTGAATTAGAGAAATGGGTGTAAATGTGAAGAAACTAATTGGTAGAACTGAAGGGCGAGTACCAACGTACTTGACGAATAATCTAATACTCCATTGAATCTGTCCGGTGGCTGATATACATTGCTTCAAGTGGAGCCATCTAACGCCGCTTCACCGAATTTTTTTAATATATTTATGTAACGCTTAAAAATATAATATAAAGTGCACATCAGTTTAGATTGAAGCAAAGTCTTAAATTCTATAATGCAAATTACCGTATAAGTGAGTTGTGATAATTTATCGAAGAAGCTTGTAAAATCGTGCAAGTCACAAGAGTTTTAATACGTAAATGATTAGGTGGTCTAGCGCTAGGAATGACTTTTATGTGTACCATGATCCGCAAGGACACTGAAATAATCGATTGTGTACAATCAACAGGAAATAAAAAGGATTTGATATCGTCAGTTAACACCAAGTGGGAGCATTGTACCATCCATAAAAGATGTGCCTAAATGATGCGTATTCATGGTTTCATTTGGTAAGAATATTATAGGACGTCTATGGAACAAGAAAAAGAACACCAAGAAAAGAAAAAAAGTGCAACTCAATGATGATCAAGAAGTTGAGGATAGCTCGGAGATTCTATATAGACAGTGCACAAAGAAAAAAAAGTAGTCCGGTGCACAAGGAATTTCACGTGCATACAAGGCTCGAGGAAGAATCGCATACCAAAGAGTGTGATATATCTACCTTGATGCATGCATTAAAGACTATTTTCACTATTTGAATTCGTGGCTTATAGGTCATACAGACACAATTTTACCGTTATTTCAAAACTCTTCTCCGATTTGTGTACAAAGGTGAGAGAGAAAATTGAAATGAAAAAAAGAACTGTGTTGTTCAGGTTGGTTTTTTGGCTTCTATCGGCATATAGCAGAAGAAACCATGTGATAACGCAAACAGAAATAGAGTACTCTCTTTATCTTCTATGATGATGTCTCTGTTCCCTTCTTGCTTTTCCAAGAATCCTGTCCGCTCTTCACTGTTCTATGAAAATTAGCTGATTATTCATATTTAGGAATAATAACTATTTTTGTCCATAAGTTATTGGTTTATTTAAAATTTGATCCTTATATGACTAAGTATATTTGACCTTCAATTGATTAAAATTATATTTGTGGTCCCTCTATATAAAAAATGTGTTCTATTTGACTAGTTTTAGAACTATATTACCTTTCATATATGGAGTAACATTACAAACTTAACATAACCGTGGCTAATTAAATGATATAATGAGTATAGTTAATTAAATTTTTGAAGATTCATAAGTAGATCAAAAGTGCACATCTTAAGAAAGCAAATTGAAGGTTAATTTATTTAGCCAAATTGAAACAATATTATTTTCGGTGCTATTATTCCTATTTCTGCTGCTATAGATTTACATTTTTTTCCAACCTGGAAAGCGAAATCCATTTATGAATAGTTGTGCAACAATGGTTCTTATGAACTAATTCTTCTACACTTCGTACTTGGATAGCTTGTCATGAATGGGAACTTAGTGTTTGACCCAAAAATTAGATCTATTTCAACAAATTAGATTTAAACAAAATAGAGCCAATCTTAGCTAATATTAATATCCAAAAGACAAGATTATCGATTTATGGCAGCTAGTATGTATATTTGATCAAATGGCAATAAATGTGAGCAATAATAACAATATTCAATGATCCACAAAGGTGAAAGATAGCATTCAATAACAATAAATAGTAATGAATGATGTTTAAGTAAATAAAAACGTGTGAGTCACCCGAAAAGTGGTGAGATATGTGGATATTCTTTCTGACAATGTAGAATGATTGACGATCCTTTGAACACTTAGGTTGTTCTTGGATCGGGTAGAAAAGTTAGACAAGAATCTTAGTGAAAAGGTTATTTTTGTATGCTTGTAATATGGTCAGATTCTCTCTATAAAGTGTCACGACCCAAAATCCACTATAAGCCGTGATGGCGCCTAACGCCGGCGTCAGGCAAGCCAACAATGATTGGTCGATTTAATTATTTATTTTATTACTTTCGAAGTCGTAAATTTTAATAAGGAAGGATTTTAAATTAACGGGAACATACAAAATTTGTAGTTTATAAGGGAAATGAAAGGCGATGATATTATACATAACCGTAAGCATCAACTAGTATACCCCAAAACCCCGTGTCACAAGTGCATGAGCATTTAGTAAGGAGTACGATAATCATACAACATCTGTCTAGAATGTAAACGAGATAGAATAAGATAAACAGTAAGATGGAGACTCTGTGGACTGCGATGAGTAGCCTGGAATGCAGCTCACATATAGTCTCCTCAACAGTTGCACCTATGCGCGAAGACAATCGCCAAATGAACATATCAGATCCTGCACATTTAGTGAAGAAGTGCAGCATAAGTATGTAAATCAACGCGTACCCAGTAAGTATCTAGCCTAACCCCGGAGAAGTAGTGACGAGGCATTGACATCAACACTTACTAGAGGTCCAATAAAGTAATACGATAAATCATAACCAGATATGAAGCACAACAATAATAATGGGGTAAATTTATAAGTTACATAAGCTTCCAAAAATTTCTTTTAAAGATATAGATTTCTCGATCTCATATTCTATCTCAACAGCCCGGTCGTATGAAGTGCCAGTAATAAACGGATAAAGAAATACCATATAAAATTATCAGGCATCAGCGGAAGGATAATCTCGTGAATATTCGGACTGCAAGCGATATAACGCACGATTATGTCGAGGTAGTTCGGTCTGATCCAAAATAATATGTACACTGCCGA